AACTTTATAATTGCGGGCCAGTGCGGGCCTAAAATTTTGTAAAATTATATAAGAAATTTTTGCGGGCCGGGCCGGGCTGAAGAAAAAATTTAACATATGCGGGCCGGGCCGGCAAAAAAAATGGTAACCCTAAATGCGGGCCGGGCCGGGCCTAAAAAAATTTTTTAACCCTAACTGCGGGCAGGGCCGGGCCTCAAAAATAGGCAATTTGCAGGCCCCTACGTGTAACATTGTCGGTCTCTGCTGTATGAAGCTTTAAGTATCTTGCGCACGCAGGTAATACAAACCCCTGAACAAGAAAGGAAATGGTCAATCCAAACATATGCGAAGAAAAAAGCGAAAATACAACTAATTAAAAATGATAGTACTGAAATTTTACGTATAATAGCAACAGTTTATTGCTATAATTTCTATTGTCAACGACCTAATCCAACGATCCGAATTACATAATCGGTACTTAAAATTCGATTACAGAAAAAAATTTTAAAGAAATTATGCGAAATCCGAAGTTACTAATTTAATGCATATTATTTAGTGTGCATATGGTTTATAGAAATACTTAGACTATTTTTATTGCCGGTACCCTTTTTTTTGAAAGGTGTATTCAACATCAACACAATCATTTATTTAAGCAATAAATTTTTTTTTATTTCGTCCATTTCATGTTCTTGGACGTTTTCAGCTTCATTATATCATTTTTATATTCGAAAGTAGGTTTGTTCAGCTTTTATAATAAAATTTTAATAAATTAATAAATGTAAAAGTTTACAATAAACTAAAAATAATAACAAAAGCAAATGCATTCATTTATTGTGTGTGGTAAGATTTCACTATTTTTTAAAAAATGAACACGTTCAGAATCTATGCCATCTGACTATTATCCTTCTTTACCCGAACTAAGCGTTTAACACAGATCTTTTTATTAGCTTCAAATAAATTTGGTATATTTTTGAACAAATTTTTGATACTTAGATACGTAAAAACATTGTATTATCTTTTTTTTAAATCATCATTTGAAACTAAGTACGTAACTGATTTTACGTACGTACTTAGTTTATTTATAAAATTCGATTTTCTTTTTTTGTCTGCAAATAGGTAAATAACTTCACGAGACCTGGGTATACTTCACTTAAAGACGGTTCGTAAGCTAGGAAAATAATAATAGACAATAAATATATGCATTAAAGCTTTTTAATTAATTCACAAAAGCGTAACTCACTTATTTGAAAAAAGAGCTTAAAGGTAATATGTAGTAACTTTATAATAATATTAGATAAATTAAATTAGATTATAACGCTTTACTTAGATATGAAGAAACATTTCTATTTCAGGGTCTTGAAATTAATAAGTCCATATTTGAAGTTTTTAGATTATTTAAGGACATAATAAAGAACTTAAGTACTTGTTTATTTCGAAGATATGTGTTGTGTTGAAAAGTGTCCGGCACTTTTAGGAAGATCACGTTTATTAAATTTGGATGATATAAAAAACCTTAATGAATGATGAATTACAGAGTTATAATTCTTAACGTACGTAGTAAGATGCAAAAGGTTTTTTATTACGTAATTAAAAAAAGGTGATGATTATCCCTACAACGTAGTTTCAACAAATATTAATAAAGTCTTTTGTGGTTTGGAATTATAGCTTGTATAGCTAGCTTGTGTTATGTTTTTTTTAATTCAGTCAATAAATTCTTGTTCATATCTAACAATTTTTTTATTAACTCCTACTCGTGTAATGTATTTATTATGAAAGTTTATACTTGGAACCTTTTTTTATGTCTTTTGTTAAGATCTATTGATTGGCAAAAGCAATCTTCGCTATAAACTTTCTTACATAGTGGACAGAATACTATCACTATGATATATCATTATATATATAAACTAATCAAGTCTAATTAAAAAACTTATCGAATCGCCAAATAATCATTCGGTCAATTTTTCAGCAGATATCCAAAATTTATGAGAACAGCTGTAATTAATAGCGCAATAAGTCTCGAAATAACGCCCCGGGCATTATTTCGTGACGATACGGCAGCTAATTATGTTAACTTCAGTTAAGAAAATATTTCTACTTAATAATAATGAATATCTTTATGCTAGCAATTAAATGCGAATGAAATAAAAAGTATTTATAATGATAACCAGTGTTGTCACGTCTACTATGTCCAAGATTTTTTTTGACCATGTCCAACGTCCAAACGTCCAAAAATGTCTACAGCATATACAAGCTTTAAAAATTAATATATTAATTTAAAAAATATATGATTATATATTTTTTATAGTGCTGAATATTTTTATTTAGAAAGTTAAAATAGGTTAACTTCATAAAATTTTGAGCAAATTTAATTTATTTTATTTGTTCAAAAATGTCCAAAAGTGTCCAAACTCATGTCCACAACTGTCCCGTGACAACACTGATGATAACTATCCAACTTAAATGACTTTTTGCAAAAATATTATTCGAAAATTCAAATAAAAAGAGTGACTAACAAAATTATAAGTAATACCAATTAGAAATATTGTCGTTGTTAAAAGATTTTATTTTGGTACAGAACTTATTTAATTTGTGTCAATAGTAAATTTGTTACGTATATGCATTATATTCATATTGGATTCTTAATTACAGGTTATAACCACCAATAACTATTATATAACTATTGTATAACTAATATGAAGATAAATATAAAAAGCCATTATTTCAATCAATAACAATGTTATATGTAGCTATTTATCATTGTATTGAATACACAGTAATCACTAAAAGTTACAATCTACAATTTATAAATATAATAAGGATACAATACACACTATAGTCACAAATTGAATAGGTCTCAATAAAATAATTATGCCAAAGTTTACTAGGTTTAGTATAATGCAATATTCAAAATTTTAACAATACATAATTTTATACTTATGAAGTTACGCAGTTTTTTCTTGAGAATTTATATATAATAAAATATAGGATATATAATTTAAAATCAGAAATCTCAACTCTTTAAATCATAACAGATTTGATAAAATAATTTGATCATATTACATATACAGTAATATTACACTTAGAAATGTAAACCAGACCTGGTAGTTTGGAACCAAAATAGATTCTCAAAGAATTTTATTAATTGTATCGTAACTGTGCTGAACATAGACTTGTGTTTCACAAATTAGAATGCGAACCATAACATAGATAAAGTATCATATAATATTGACTTTAAAACAACAGATCAAAGTATAACGCTCTATTTTTTAATAGAGTTTATTGCTTTGGCTATGCAAAAATAAATGAATTGTGGATAAATGTTGATTCTAAACCCAAATCAGATAAAAAAATCTCATTGTTTTAATCAAATTTTGTTTATATTATTAGTTATATTAGTTATAAATTATATAATTGTTCAATTACTTGTAATATCGATATGTTATGTTATTTTATAATTGTTTTTTAATATATATTATTAATAAATATATATAAGCGATTATTACCTGTGATGTAAATTAGAAATTTTGTTTTTTTAAAAAAATATTAGGTATAAGAATAGTGAATTTAATAGTAAAAATTACCGGAAGTTGAAATGGTTTTTCTATAGAGTTGGAATGCAGCTAGCATACAATGAAAAGTTTTTTCATGACAAATAAACTTCCTTGAGTTTCTAACAAAGATTATATAACAAGTCACTCCGGTTCTAATAGTGTAGAATTATTCAAATTGGTTCGGTAGATCGCGAGCTATTGACAGTTTCTCCTTTATAACTATATGATTTTTACATAATGCCAGAAACTTTCGGCATTCCAACATTATATGAAAGTAATAGTAATTTTCCGCCGATTTTTACTATGAAATTTATACCCTTCAACTGCGATCTACCACTTAAATATAATAAATTCATTACCAAGAATATATATATATATATATAAAGTAATATACATACTCTACCATAATGCTGTAATGTTAAATTCAATTTAAATTACATCAAATAGTAAAATAATATTTAATATTTATTAAAATATGTTGTTTTTTTTTATAAAAATTAAATACAAATTTAATTCTGCAAAACTATGCCAAAACTGCATTTTTAATAAAATGTAACTCTGAATCTTGCTCCGGACTTATAACAATTCCACTTTATAGTTATAACACTATATAGATAAATACAGTCAGACCTCTCTATAGTTACCTCCGCTGCAGTCACATTCAATCTATATAAGCACAACTCTTTATAACATAAAGTTCTTTGTGTGATTATCATCTCCTTTTTTGCCTTTTTCTTGAACCACCTTTCTGATTGACTCTTTTTATAGCCCGAGCGTCCTTTTTCAGTCGTGAATCTACCATCTGATGTTAAATTAAATAATTATAAGTACAAGTCGCATTATTGAAGATCATACAAAGACTGAATTACCTTGTATCTTCCTTTAACACCCTTCGGACGGCCTTTTTTACCTTTGATAGGGCCTTTGGCAACAACCAGCTTCACTTCTTTTTTGGTCTTATTCTGAGTCTTACTCACCATTTTTGAAATCGTATTAACTTTTTCTTTCTCAGTCATGTCAGCAGAATCCATTATTGCATCTGTTTTCTTTTGGAGTTTATTAAGTTTCCTCACGGCCTAACATGGCAAATAATATAAAGTTATCAATTCAAAAAATACAATAAATAAATAATAAATAAATAAATATAAGATTAAATCAAAAAAATAAACATACATACCCTTATCTTTTTCCGAGCTTTAGCTTCTGCAACTTTTTTAATTGGCCGGGCATTTAAAGCTTTCATCCGCTCCCTGATTGCCTGCACAGCTTCTTTAGTCACCGGCATGTTCAATTTGTTATGTTGCTTTTCGTCATCTAGAAACCATTCAGGTAATCCTTCCCTATCATTATACGTGGTTCGATGGAAACCTTCATCTATGAGATCATATTTTGTTTTTTGTCGATTTACAAGTTGTTGCGCTAAAGTTATCGCTTCTGCAGTGGTCAACCCAATTTCTAAAACAAAAAGATCTATTAGAAACTGTACAATTTGTTTCTTGATTCTGATTTATACAGATTGCCGCACCTTTTACTCTCTTCATTCTTTTCTCATCATCGTCGAATTCATTGGCATCCCACATTTCCTTATCGTTATCTTTGTCTTGAGGAACTATTTCTATATTATCATTTATACCATCTCCAATCTACAATAAAGAATTGATACAATCTTAGACAAACCATGAATGCAGTTGTAACTATCTGATACCCAATTATTACTAACATCATCAGCTTTGCGCTTTAAAAAATGACCATTAAGCTCGGTTACTTTATCTTTGACATCAAAGACGTCACTATTTGTTTCATTTTCTAAATTCAGATCAGAATCATCTTCCGAATTCAGATCAGAATCATCTTCCAAATTCAAATTAGAATCATCTTCCAAATTCAAATTAGAATCATCATCCGAATTCAAATCAGAATTATCTTCCAAATTCAAATCAGAATCATCATTACTTTTATCGGATTTTTCATTAAATTTTTCATTTTTTATGAATTCTTCTTCATCGGATTGATTTGTTTTATGGTTTTCATTATCATAATTTTTCAATACATCTTTAAATAATGGATTATCAAAGAATAATGTAGCCTTCTTACTCAAACCGCCAACCTTTTGAACTTTACTATCATCATCGCTTAAATTTGTCAATAATTTTTTCTTTTTTTTAGGTGGCTCACTTTTAAGTTTGTTAGATGTCTCATTTTCTAATTCAGAATTACTATCGCTAGATGATGAATAACTATCATCTTGTGAATGCACAGATTCCATGGTTATATTATCATTGTCATCACTACTTTCAGATTTTTGAATATCATTCCAATCTTCATATTCCTCTCGTGTTTTCTTCACTTTGTATTTTGCGTCACGTTCTGCTCTACGCTCTACATATTGCTCATAGCTGAAATCATAAATAAATATATTAGGCTTATTTGTTTGAATTGTTTGGAAAACAAACTATGTTTCTTACAGCTCATCTAATTCTTTTTCCAACTGAACGTCATCATTATCTTCCGAAACTTCATACTGATCTTTTAACAAATTTTGATCTTCAATCATAATGTCATCATTATCATTTTCTTGATCAAGAACAATGTCCATATTTCCTTTGCGTATTTTTCTTAACACCTATTAAATATTTCTTAGCTATTAATTTATATTACCATAAAAAAAAGATAACTAAATAGATAAACAATTACCCCTGTTTTATCAACTTGTTTTAAATCAAATAATGGGTCACCACCATCAGGTCCTGAACTCTCTAATGCGATATCAGTGGGGGAAATCATCTTTAGCTGCATTCGAACAACATTTTTCTGTCGCTTTTCATTTGTTTTTCGACGAACTCGTTTTTGTTGGGCTTGCTTTTCCTTAGTGAGTTCATCAAGCTATATTGAATCAAATTTTAAAAACTGGTTAGCATATAATAAATTGAGACGTAAAAAATTGAAATTGAATTTATATGAACCTCATCTTGAATTATTTGATCTTCATCAACTTTTTCATCATCTTTGGTTGAATTATTTTCTATTGATTGATCCTGTTTCTTGAATAAAAAGAAAAAAACCACCCGAGTTTGTTAACAAATCAAATTGACCCAGGTAAAAAATTTAAAATGATGCATACCTTTTCTTTAACTATGTTTCGCCATCTCAAAAGATTTTTAAATTCTTTTTTACCCAAAACTTTTAAATCATCACAACATATTTTTATTTCTTCAGTTGTAGATTCATGGTTTAATAACCTAAATAACATATAATCAATTTAAAGAATCATAAATATTTTTTTTTAATCATAATTTATATAACTTACTCTTTAGCTTTCTCAGTATCAAATTTTAATTTATTAACATCACCAAGAATTTGAATCGGATCATCTGAATTAATGAAATCTAAAATTGAAATCTCTTTATATAATGTATAATTTCCATCTTCATAACCTTCTCTATAACGTTTTCTTTTTCCTGGATTTAAAACATCAATAGATTTATTTTTAGGTCCAATTTCAACTTCTTGGAAAACCGATCGAGGATCAAGAAATTTTGGGTCAATTTTCTTTGGAGCAAGAAAATCACGACAAACAACAAAAATTTCCGCTGAGACATTTCTAATATTAAAAGGTAAAAAAAAAAATTTAGAAAGAATAAACAAGTATAAATTTATATCGTAGAAAACAATGTACCTTGATGAAGCCGGTTTTGTAGCCTCTACTTTTTTAAATAGTTGATTAAAAACCCAAATCAAATTGTTATAATCCTTTGATCTAAAAATTTTAGTCACGAATGTGCCTGAATAATTGAATAATAATAGAGCAAATTTCAACATACACGAGTAAATATTAATTAAATGATATTAAAAATATTTTATATAACAGATAAGAACCTCCTTGATTCAAAAATTCTACAGCTAATTTCAACGCTTTTAATGTCAATTCTGATTGGGAGAAAGCATCTTGTAGCCAAGAAATACCCACATTTGGGGCACCATCATGAAGTACTCTTAAAAAAAAACCCCCCGAAAAAAAATTAAGTTGTCATATTTAAAATATTAAAATATGACAAAAACATAATAAAGAATTAATTACACATCAGCTTTCCAAGTTTTTAACTCATTTCGAATTATAGATCGACATTTATCAGTAGTGATATCTTCTTGGAAAGTTATAATACTTGGAATCGGTTTAATAGGTGCAAGATCAACACCTTTTGATTAGATTTAAATATGGATTAAAAATTTTATAAAACTTCAATAAGTCTTTTTAAGAATTAATTCAAATAAAAAAAAAATTTTTTTCAAACCAATAATTAAACTTGATACGGGCATATATTTTTTCGCAACTTGTAACCTTTGATAAAATTAAAAAAAATTTAGTGAATTTATATAATATTAAATCATTCAAGATGAACTCACCATCCTCCAGGAGCAGCACATAAATCTACCAAACATCGTGACTTTTCTAAAAAACTATATTTTTTGTTTAATTGAATAAGCTTAAAGGCAGAACGAGAACGATATCCTTGTTCTTTGGCTAAGTGGTAATACTTGTCCAAACGTCCTATTCAAAGAAAGTTTTCAAAATTAGAATTTTATTTTTTTATTTTATTTCTATTTTTTTTTTTTTTTTACGAACCTTTGGCGGTTTTTTTGTCTTTTTTACCCATTTCTTGATAAAGTTCATTTAAAACATCTAGTATCACCGTAGATCATATTTTTGCTTTATATACCAAGTTTCCTCAAATTTCTATTGGCTGAGTGTATCTAGGTGACACCACCCTATTGGTCGATGATATTTCTATCGCTGATTGGATTATGGTGGATTATGGTTATATGAAGAATTCGTCTAATTGGTTAATTTTTGTAGACCTACCTACCGTGATTACCCGTGATAATTAACCAATCAAATTACATAATAAAAGTTTATATAAAAAACCTCAAACTAAGAAATACACACAAAAGGATTTATTTCAAATCTTTAGAGGGACAGGTAAAGAAGGATAAATGTGAGTTTATTATACAATTTATGATCTTTGAACATTTACAGCACCAAACACACTACAAAAACTTTAAACTCGGATCTTCTACTGCCAAAGCGTTTATGCCTATCTAAAATTAAAAAAATTTATTTAAATCTAATGATTTGAATTTAGTGGGATAAAACAGTCTTTGGCAATCCATTACTAGTTACTAATGATGCTGGTGAAATTAAATCAGAGTGGTGAAATGATTTCACCATTCACTAATCACCAATCGGTATTGGTGAATTGGTGAAATTGGTGAAACGGTGAAATGGTGAAATAGTAGTCATGTGCTAAATACTGAGATGTTTTTTTACTTTTGAGCTTTTAATTAAAGTTGTTCAGAATTAAATTCTGATCAACTTTAATTAAAAGCTCAAAAGTAAAAAAAACATCTCAGTATTTAGCAAATTGACTATGAATGATTGTGACCGTTCGTGACCGAACCCATCCCTAGTCATAAGGTCTGCTGTATCAAAGTAGAAATGAATAGGAATGGAAATAAGAATATTGATAATCGTATAGAGAATAAAAGTACGTAGTCAAATATTAATCATTAATAAATGATCGTTTCACCATTTTACCATTTTATTATTTCACCATTTTATCAATTCACCGTTTCACCAATTCAACCAATACAAATTTTACCAATTTTACAATTTTACCAATTTCACCATTTCACCAAATTTTTATTTTGGTGCAATTTTGGTAAAACTATTTCACCATTTCACCTAGTGAAATAATTTAATTTCACCAGCATCTATACTCGTTACCTTTATTATATAATTCTGTATGGTCCAATAGATGGCAGTATATTTATTTTAAGCTGAATTTCAAATTTAAGATCTTTTTGAGATTCTTTTGCACAATGATGCTTGCGATAGTGTTTTATTAATGAAACATCGATTTCGTTTTAAAACATGTAAGTTATTCAGGCAATTAATTTGCATTTAGCCAATCAAACGAAATTTTCTCTGAGTTGCTTAATATAATTTACAGTATTTTCGCGTAATAGATACAGGGGTTAATTTCGAATTCTGGACAAAATTCGAAATAATGAAAATATGATCACTTTTTGTATGAAACTGGATAATTGAAAATTTGCAAAACTAAGTTTCTGCATACAAAAAAGCTTTTACACATGACACAAAATTCTCAAAAATAACTCTTTTTTTTTTTAAACCTTAAGCAGTTACGCTAGTACTTTATTAAGATTCTTGAAACTATATACATATACAATTGCATAGAACTTCCCAATGTTTAAGTCTAGCATCACTCAACCATCCTTATGGTACCTAAATGCAACCTGTCACACTATTTCAGTTAGAGATAGTCTGCTCATCTAATTACTTAAAGTCATACTAGAAAGTCTTTTCCTTTCAATGACAAGCCTATCAATTGTCTTTCATGCTTTTTTCTTCATTTGATTCATTTTTCTATTTTTTTTTCTTTTCTTTTTTGTTTATCTTTTTATTTCTTTTCTTTGATTTTTCTTTTGCTTGAATATTTTATTTTATTTTATTTGTTATATTGATCTTTTTCTTCTATTTTTACATCTTTTTACATTGTACTTTTTATATTTGGTCATAAAAGATGTTCCAAACTGTTCTCATTATTATGTTTATCTACATCTGTATTGTCTGCTTGTTTAATAGTTATTTGAGTCTTTCTTCTACTTTTAACATAATAAGTTCCTTTATTAGGATTTTTCTATTCTTAATTTCTTTTGCTTCTGTTTCTCTAAATACTGTATTATATAATATTTGTGATCAAATTCTATTTTTTTTTCTTTTTAAGTCTATTCCGTAGATTTTTTTGTTTATTACAACTTGCTAAATATGTTTAGATTTTATTTTCTCTATTTTGGCATATCTGACATTCTACTATTATGTATATTTTTGGATTTTTCTATTTAGTTCTTCAAATATTAATAAACTACACATTATATACTTAATTGTTATTACTCTTTTGTACTAAGTTTTCTTGAGATGCAGTAAACTTCTCTTATTTTATTTATTTTTTCTAAAAACTTAATTAGTCATGTAGTATATTTTCTGTTTCTGGTTCTAGTATTCTGATTAGATTTATTTTTTTTCAACTAGTTTCAATTCTGACATTTACTATTATCTTGCAAAGAAATTTTGTTAATATATTAATTATCTTGTTTTCTCATTATAAATAATATTCAATCCTATTACACCTAATCTTCTTTGTATATATTATATCTTCACATTTTGGTTTTTTTTTTTTGCAAGAGAGTTTGCTTTATTATTCTACTTATTTTTATTATAATTTTTAATTTTAATTATTTCTATTTTAATGTTTTTGCTCTTAATAAGATTTGCAATATATATTTGTTATTTACATTATGTTTTCTTCTTTAAAATTTTTCTATCTTTTATATCTTGAATTGTTTTGTTAATATTTTTTAATACTACAATGCTGTCTGTATATACTTTTATATTTTTTTTTCTAGTATTGTAAAAATTAATATCTATATTACTGCCAATTCTGCTATTGTTGCTAACAATTATTTCTTAAGTCTTAATGCAGTTTTTTTCTCTGGCTAGTCTCTTCTGTTCCCTATTTATATCCAACTAATACTTATTTTTTCTGTACTGTTTTCTTCATTTCTATTATACATTCTATTATCTGTATAAAAAATATAGTTTTCTTTATTTTTTTCTTTGTTTCTTACTAGAATCTTAGTTAAACAGTCTGTAATTATACTATTTAATCTTATTTTTTAATTAACTCAATCTTTAGTATTTTTGTTTGCTTTAATTTATTAAATTTTTTTATTTTTATTTCTTTATGATTCTATTTTCTAGCATTTGTTCTAACATTCTATTATTCTTATTGTTACTTTTTTCTATTAGTAACTCTGTTATAACTTTATACTATGGTTTTATTTTATCTATCTCTTATATTTGTTTCTTGTTTGTTCTTATTTAATTTTATAATTTTTGTATTTGCTTATTTTTATAAATGTCTTTTCTTCTTCTTTATGCATTAGCCAGTGCTTAACTAATACTTTTTTCTTGATTATTTTGCTAAATTACTGATTGTAATTTGGTCTATATATGATTATTTTTTTCCTTTAATCTTTTAATATTTTTGTCTATTTAATTTTTTATTTTTTATTTTTTTTTGTTAAAGGTTATACTTGTGGCAATACTTTATTGACTTTTATTAGGTTAGCTATTACAATTATTTTTATAGAGATAAAAGTACAACTAGTTACATATGCAACTTTTGATTACCTATTTAAGTAGTCTGCCCTATGGTTCTACACTATATATTATATCTATAACCTACTAGAAGATTATTCATTTAAATTCTCTGATCATCTGCTCTATCATATTGGAATCCCAACTTACTTTCTGTATATATCTAACTAATATACTGTCTGAACAGTATGGTATCTACTCTTTTTATACTGGTTCTCAGGCTGTTACATATTTCAGAGTATATCACCTACTAGTAAGACACAGAGGGCCCTCTATTGTTAACTATCTACCCATTTTTAGAATACTAACACAGGCTACTCTTATAGAGTTTATCCAGATTCTAACACTAACTTCATAGCATATCTCTAGTACTTTTAGTATACCTATGCTTTAACCTCAGACTCCTAATCCAGATAGTCTAGAAGAACTATAACCTGTTTTTGGTACATTGAGACCAGTCCAATATTCTTTTTTTTCAGTCTAAACTCCGGTGGCCTGGTTAGTGATACTTTTATCTGAGGTTCTTGCCTACCTGATTTCTCTATATAGGTATTCATTTCCTAGATCTAGCCTTTACAGTAGTACTGTCAAAGATCTGTATTACCTCTCTGTTTGAAATTTTTAAGTGAGTTTTGGCTTCTTAATTTTACAGATTTATACAACCCAAGAACATATTTTAGGTTTGTACTATCTAGTACTGGTTTGCATTCCTCTGTATAACCAAGATTACACAAATGTCCCAAATCTGTTAGTCATGTTAGTGCAATCATAGTTACAGATATCCTATCTTAACTAATTGACAGAATGCTATCTCTATAATATCATCTATATATTATATAGATAATTATCCAAATTTCATTGTCAGTGGGTTTTGAACTCACAACCTACTATTTGAAAGTATGACAACTTATCTACTTTACTAAATTGTCATATCCTTTTCTATTTTTGTTTATTTAATCTTTAATGCTTATGTGTTATAACTATTTGTTTTGTAATAACTATATATTATTCTACTTGTTTGTATTATTAGCATTCTTTTTCTATTTTACTAAATTATTTAGTTTTTTTTCTTATATAACAACTCTTAAAAACTTTTGAGTAGTTTTTATATAATCAGGATATTATCTTTTATATTTATAAGCTAATTTATATATAATAACCTCTATTTATTTATTGTACTATTGCTCATTGTTTATGTTTTTGTTCTTATTATATTTTTTCTATTTTAATAAGTATATCTATTTTTTTTGCTTTAGTTATTGTTTAGTAAACTAAATTGTTTTTTCAATATTTTTTTTCTTTTGGTCTTCTTTCATAGTTCTAGATGTTTTCTATTATGTTTGCCTTTTGGCATTCTTAAGTTATTTTAAGTCTTGTTAAATTACCAAAACTATCTTGTCTGTTAAGTCTTAAAAA